TGGCAGCCGACCCCTCCACATGTGAGAAGGCGGGAGGTACATCTGCGTTCTTGACAGCCTGATACGCCGACAAGTATCTTATTGGGGGAACGCAGCCAGCCCCGCTCGCCGAGGAACCTAGAGCCTTAACTCGGGGTGGATTCGCCAGTAGTCCCCAGGTCTAAGCCTCAGTGTTCACTCCACTGTGCAACCCTCTATCCACCACGCATCCTCCAGCGGCAGGCTTCCACTCCACAAGGAGCATCACCATCAGCACCCTATATCACCACCTACCTGCCCCGACAGCACTTGGCAGCTCCTGCCCCATCTTTCCAGACGACTTACCGCCGATAGCCTCTAAAAGGTCGCATCTAGGACAGCCCGAAACTCGGTCGCCACCCCACTTGACCAACCAGCGATTCTCTCTTCATCAATACCGACCTTCCCCCGCTTTGCCCTCGAGCTCGAGCCACCCTTGAACAGTTTTCCGAAGCATCTCTCCCGCCAAACCGCCTGCAGGGAGCCTAAAATACAAATACCTGGTCGCGCGCCGAGGCCATGATCTGAGCATTGGCTGTGTAGCTTCAGAACCAGCCGCTCCTCTGGCCTCGCGCAACGAGATATCATATCCGCTACTGCTGCGGCACGCAAGACTTGCTGTCTCCCGCCCGGGATCCTCTTTGGGTGGCTGTCTTCCGCCGGCAGGGAAGAAACAGAGTCCCAGGAGAGGAAGGGAGAACAACGAGGGTACCTAGTTTAAGAGACAAGTGTTGGGGAACAACAACGCCATCATGTATCCATACCAGAGAAGCTCCTCTAGGGGCTCCGCCAGGTCGGCGGCGCCTACCCCGATGGGTGACCGCCCGATGAGCATTGATGCCATGCTCGATATGGAGAGACAGGAGGTTCTGGCTTTGCTTGAGAACAAGCCGAAGGAGGCGCCTCCGCCAGAGCAAGAGCGCAGAACGGCCAGCCCATACGCAACAGGTCGGTCGCCTGTGCGGAGCATGCTCGACATTGAGGAGGAAGGGCCCGGCGAGATCAGGACAAGCCCTACAATGCAGCCCCCAGTTCGAAGCATGCTGGACCTCGATACACCATTGCCTTCCATCGTCAAGAAGACGTCGGCAGAGAGCTCCAAGATGCCCACCAGCACACCATCATCCCCAACCGGGTCAGCCTTCAAGATGCGAAGCGCTAGTCAGTCGTCGCATCATCGAAGCATGTCCGATGCAGGGTTCAAACCGGCAGATTTCGGGCCTCGGGCAACCAACCGTGCTGATATCACAGCAGACTACCAATTCTCTGGGATCTACAATAACCTTGGGGGCAACCAGCTTCCGCTAAGGGCATCGCAGAAGAAGAAGAAATCATCTAGCAGCAGTTCCAAAAAAGCCATCCCCAGTAGTCTTGGGGAGGCTCTGAAAGGTGCTGATCTGAGCGGTCTGCAATTTCCTAATGAGCGTGGGCGAAACAATTCTCTAGGCGGACTTCCCCAACGTCTGGGAAACCAGTCCAAGTCACCCCACAATCGTCTAGGGAGCCGATCGAGGTCCCCGGCCACCTTTGGTCCCCAGCTTGTTCCTGGAAAGGCGTATTTGGCAGATGGGGGTGTTGTGGATATCAACAGTGCCTACCGCAGGCTGTCTGATGTGCATCTTCTGAACTCTAGTGGAAGCCTAGCTCAGTTGCCAATGCGGAAGCGCAATGATGAAGTAGGTGAGGGTAGACTGGTGAAGGACTACCTCGGTCCAGATGGGGAGCACCTGGGCTCCAGTGACGAAGAGGATGCCTACTCAACCGACGATGAGGACCGCGGACGCAAGAAGACTCCAAGAACCCTCAACCCGGATGCTAAGGGCGAGGGCGATGGCGACAGCACTGAGGGCGGATCGCACTCTGCCAAGGGAGAACGCCAGACGCTGAGCCTCCTTGCAGCGGCGGAAGAAGAGCGGAAGGACATTGCATCGCAGCAGCCTTACCAATACAGGTCACTAATTCCGGAACCCGAGATTAAGATAACCAACACATCTGGGACAACCGTCAAGTCGAAGAACGCAGTACACCCCAATACCAGTTACGATCGTCATCCAAGCTCAGCTACCCCATCCGTCATAGACTCGGATGAGGAGGCCGACTATGATGACATCAAAACGGCACAAAATCTTTCTTTTACCATGACAAATATCCAAAACACCGCCCATCGTGCGATTCGGATCATTTACCGAGGAGAATATCAGAAAATTGCACAATCAGCAGAGGAAGAACACCACAGACTCAGGAAATACCTGGTTGCTACAGATCTCAGTGATGAATCAGCCCATGCTTTGGAATGGGCTATTGGAACGGTTCTTCGCGACGGTGATACTTTGATTGCCATCTACTGTGTTGATGAGGAAACGGGCATCTACGCTGGAGAGGGAGCACTGATTCCGGATGAACCCAAGGCGATGAAGGAGCAGGCTGCCGCCATCAATACACTAGCCAATACCAAAGTGTCAGCAATTGGAAGTCAGGTCTCGGAGCTTAAGCGGCAGTCAGTCCTGAGCAGCAGACGGGGAGAATCTACCGGTACTCCTGGAGCTTCACCTGCTCCTTCGGGACGGGGCGAGTGGAACAAGGCAGAGGAGGAGCGCAACCGGGCAGTCCAGGATATCACGGACAGGCTACTTCGTCTACTGAGAAAGACACAGCTGCAAGTGCGAGTGGTGGTGGAGGTACTCCACTGCAAGAACCCCAAGCACCTCATCACCGAGGTGATTGATGTGGTGGAACCCACTCTCGTTGTGATCGGAAGTCGGGGACGCAGTGCACTGAAAGGGTAAGAAGCCACTCTTTGGGACGATCCATTTACATAAATATGCTAACCACATGCTGCAGTGTTATTCTAGGGTCATTCTCTAACTATCTAGTCACCAAGAGCTCCGTGCCAGTCATGGTGGCGAGAAAGCGATTACGGAAGCAGAGCAAGTACAAGACCAAGGCCGTACGGCAGGTGAACAATTTGAGCAACCCAGCAGCCCGGAGTCTGGCAAATGCCAAGATTGATTGATGGGCCGGAGCAAGATGTACACCTGTGCTTTCTTTTACGCGTTTCAATACATGCACGGAACAACTACCTACTCACAACTGCTATAGCTCAACTCAAGCCCACGCATCCCCTCGGTTAATATCGTTTTATCTGGATTGATTTTGATGTCATTGGTATGATATACATGGATTGGAATCTTGGAGGTGGACCTCAAGAGCGGTAGAAGAAGAGGGAGAGACCCCATAGGCGTCGTTTGGAAGACATGGAGGGGATTGGCTGCGTTTGGTTTTCTACTCTTTTGCTTTTCCTTGGGTGGTTTAAGAATATCATCGCTTAGGTAGGTACCCAGCGTTCAGTCGGTGTGGTGCCACAGCCAATGAGTGCCCGCCTCTCATGAGGGGCAGGGAACAGCGAGAGGGCAGAGGGCAGAGACACTTGCCCATGTATAAGCTTTTCAATAGAATACATAATCTCAACTGTGGCCCTGGGAAGCGCATGCACATGTCTTCTCTCAACTGCATATTGACCCAAGCACCCAAGCAAACTCGCAATGGCCGCCAGCATGCAAGACGGTGGGTTTCAGACTGGGCGGTGGCGTGGAGGGGCGAGCGGGGTCCAGCTGGCAAGTGCTATGACTCCGAGTCGTGCCTGCCGTCTGTTATGATGCATCCAGACTGGGCTGTAGGCAGCTTTTCTGAGCGGGGATACGCTGTATTTATTGGTCGGGTGCTTCTCGTGCATCCTGGTCTATCCATGATGTGTCAACAAACAAACACCACCCACTCACATGATACATCCCGGCACGAAACGAAACGCCTTTGGTGGTGGGCATCCATTCCTCTGCGATCGACTCTTGCCGTCTCCATTTCCGCACTTTGGCTGCACGCTGCGTCCGTACATGCCACACCACAACATCGCATCGCATCAGCGGCGGTAGCTGCATGCATGGCCCCGAAACACGAGGCCGCCTGTTCCTCCGTGTAGGTATGCACTGCTCGGTTCTTTCCGAATGATTTATGGCTTGGTCTAGTTCTTATCTGCGTTCCTCCCCGCCCATCCCATCTCCTGCTGACCCGTCCCTGGTGAAGAAGAAGCGAAGAAGGCGGTCCGAGACTTGGCTCCCCTCCTCGTCCTCCCCCTCCCCCACTCGTGCCCAGCCCAGCGCATCCCTGCGGTGACTCTCATATCATTGGCTATCCATTCCCAACCTCGCGATATTCTACTCCCACCCACGCGGCCGTGTTGAGCGGCCACCCCAGTATCTGTCTACCACCTTAAAACTGAAGAATGATTCGCTGTCAAGTCTCTACTGGTTCGGTCCAATTGCCTGTCGTCTTACCCAAATACTAGTAGCCGCTGCACCTTCTTCCCACCTTTCCCTTTCGGTCTCCTGTTTAAGACAATCGTGCGAATTTCAGTGACGTCTCCAAACCTATCGAGTACCCAACTCACCCATTCAGTGCCAAACCCAGCACTGTTGAACCAGAAGACTTCCTTGAGCACCCTGCAGTTCCCACTCGCTCTTAGTGCGCTGCAAAACAGAACCCTTCACATACCAAGACGTTCGTTCGCAAACTCGGGGTTTGGGGCTGGTGGTCCGTCGACCCGATGAATTCCTTCTTGACAGTCAACAACAACGTCTCGCTCATCAGCATTACTATTGCGCCCAGCACCTACCTCGCTAGTTTTGTCATTTTCCTCGTCTTGTTCGCCATCTTCATCACTCGCTTGCCCTTCAAGCTTCCACGACTAGCCTTCTCTATCCCCCAGTTCTTGCGCCAGCCGCTTTCCTCCTCGCTCTCTACTTGGGACCCGGCCGTGGATAAAGCGCTTCCTGAACCTCCAGATACTCGCGGCGGCAGCAGGCTCATCCTTCAAGACCAGTCCCTTATTTTAGCGAGACCGGATCTCATCCGCCTTCGTCGCCAGCGCAATCAGCAAACGCTGCACTCACAGCCCTCACCGCCACCACCGGAAAGAGCGCTAGAATATGAGCGAGACCATCGATCCTCTCGACGTCTCTCTGAGGGACTTCGAGCATCCTCTCAGCCCGCAGTACTCGCGCCACTCGATGGCCCCCAGCGAGCCGACAACAACAGACGGCGAAGACGAGGAGTACGACCGGGAGAGCAGTCATCACCCAAACTCGGAGATCGGTTCCGTAGGTGGCTACTCACCACCGGCGTGGCGGAGACTCGGAAACGGAAGTCGCAGCAGCGGCTTCTGGAGACCGCCGCCCGTTAATACATTTGCGCCTTTGCCATTCCTCCGGGAGACATCGCCGGATCTCGATGAGGAGTTGGACGATCACAGCGATGATGATGATTCGGTATTAATGAAGGCGATTAGGACCCAATTACCGCGGGGTAGCATGAGCCCAGAGAAGGGCAGGAGTGTCAGTCCCGAGAGGACAGAAGATATTACGTTGAGAGTCAATCAAATCGTTCCACGCGCCAAGTCGGTTCCTCATGAAGCACCGTCGGAAAACTGTGAGTGTTTGCTTGCTGCAATCGCCGTCTTCTTGTTACCCTGCCCACTTGATGGTTGCCCAACGGACACATGCTTACAGTAGCTACACAGATATTCGCTTCGCCGTTCGAGCAGAAGTGCAACATCGCACTGAACCTATCGAGTCAGCTATTTCCTTTGTTCGAAAGAAGTATACCGCACTTACTGCTACCTGGAGCTCGACGATTTTCTCCATCATCGCTATCATGTTTAGCATCTCCGCTTTCAAATCTCTGGTGCAACCAGCTGCTCCCCGCCCTGCTGGTGACTTGGTTAAGGTTGCTGGCGTTGCGCGATCGTTTGAACCCCTCATATACTACTCCGAGCATGCTGTAACGCAAATCCACGACCTTCAGGCCACTAGCATTGCCGTGTGGGACCTTGGCGAAAGTGTACGGTCAAGTGACATGAAGGATGCTGCCAGCATCGTGGCCGACCTTGATGCACTAAGTGGCACAATGAAGATTCTGGCAGAAGAGATGACACGCTTTTTTGCCAGAGTTGATGGCGACATCGATGCGTAAGTTGCCCCTTTATCATCACCTGCCCTGCCCTGCCCTCAAAACGAATTGTTGGCCCTCCCCCTCCCCCCATCCCCTTCAGTTTCTATCTGCCTAGGCTCTTCTCACACCCGCTATAGAATTCTCAACGTGATGGACTGGGCTAGGATGCATCTCAATCGCTTCCATAGTTCCCCAACCCCTTCCACCCTCTCCTCTGCCTATGACAATGTCCACAACATTCTCTGTCAGGCCAACATCCTTGAGGATTCTACGGGAGCCCTCACTCCGCTTGGCCAGATCACCTCGTGGGTCTTCGGTCCATCCAACCCCCAGCGTGAACAGCGCATGGTTCAATTTCTCTTCCGCGAATTCCTCGCCGTCCTCGAGGACTCCATCCAGTCGGAACTTCAACATTCTGCCACCCTCTTCGCTCTCTTCGAGACCGTCGACCGCCACTTTCTGAACCTTGCCCGCACCGTTGTCCGCGAATCCTCTGCTCAAGAAGAGCTCTACTCGGACCTCCTCTCAGGTCTCTGGGCCCGCATGCTTGGCCCTCACGCCGCCCAGGTCCGCAAATTCGAACAAAATCGCCTCCTACTTCAAGACGTCCGCCGGAAGACAGTTCACAACAAGGGCATCCTCGTCGATCACAACGGGAAGCTCCTCACCCTCCAGGCGTCCCTCGAGTCCCTCCGCGGGAAGCTCTTCTCCCCCCTCGTCCGCGGCGTCAACTCGACCATCCTCTCTCTCGAAGATCAGATCCACGGCATTACGGATGCAAGCGAATACCTTTCTGGGGTACGAAGGCAGCAGAAGGGTAAAGTCATGGAAACTCTATACGGAACCATGCCGGGCCGCAGACATGCGATTGGATATGATGGTGTGCAGCCCAACGAGAGGAAGCTGGCGCCCAATAGTGGCTGGGAGCGCTGATACTACATCGGGTTTGTCGGGCGTTAGAAGTGTATTTGGGTGTGCATCATGACATATTGTCTGTTCATTCTCATCGGAGTTGTGTGTGTACATACATGGGTTCGGCGCAAGGACACTTCCGGGTTTCTCAGTTCTTTGGCTAGTACTATGTTGTAGTCGGGCGTTTCAATGATCATATTTCAGCATCTTCTTCCATTCTCAGTGTGCCCTTCCCACCGCTGACTATCATTCACTACGTGTGAACTTCACAAATTAATGCAATGCATTCGATATTAGTCACCAAGCAAAGTCAATCAATCATTTTAGACAAGTTTTGAACCATTCCATCTATCATAAAAGTCCTATCCGAGTAGAAGACTCTCTCCTTCACTTTTGTGCCTGCTAGAAATAAGTGGCCACGATTTGGGGGTATCGGCCATACAAGCAGGGTCAAAAAAAATTCCTCAAACCTTCAACGCCTCCGGGTGAACTCTTGTCGATGGATGACTCCTCGAGTCAAACCAAGCAAATGGTGATCAAATCAGATCACACTAGCACCCTTAAAAACTTTTCTCCCTCCTTTCCTGCGAAGAAAATGCAAATAATTCTACCTGTACATAAAATGGCCTCGAAATATGCCGCCAATGAGTTGGTCCTTATTCGTGAGATATCATTTGGCTCATAGCCCCGAGGACAAAGCGTAGAAGATGCATAGGTCGTAACGGGTGATAAATGCTCTTAACATAAAAAGGGAATAAGACAAAGGAAATAATGTATGCGTGGTTTTAGGTGGAGGCCACGACAATTAGGCCTTAGCCTCCTCCTCCTTCTTAGGCTCAGCAGCAGGTTGGCCCTGGGACTTGACGTACTCGTCGTAAACAGTCAGGGCCTCGTCAACCTTAGCCTTCAGAGCGGCCTCATCCTCGATGCTGCAAGTTATTAGCCTCAGGGTCGATCAGGGGAAAACTATGGTTTAAACACTTACAGGTTAATGAGCTCGTTGTTATCCATCTCGAGAAGCATGCCAGTGATCTTTCCAGCCAATTCGCCGTTGATGGCCTGGATCTTGGGGAACAACAATTCACCAAGAATCTGCTTCTGTTGGGCAGGCTGTGCGGAGGCAAGCTGAGCCTGAAGCAATGCAGTTGGGTTAGCATCGCCACCACGGCCGGCCTGGGGCGGGGCATTGCCACCGTTTCGGCCAGCGTTGGCACCACGGCCAGGGCCACCGCCCTGTCGGTTGTTAGGGGGGAAGCCGGGCAAGTTGCCCTGGATACCGGCAACGTTAGGAGGAACGCCGCCAGGAATAGCGCCACGGCCACCCTGAGGAACACCTCCGCGGCCGCTAGCAAGAGCAGCCTGCTGCTGGACTTGCTGCATAGCAGCCATGAACTGAGGAGTGCCAGGCTGCCCGTACTGAGGAGGGAACTGACCGGGCAGACCGTACATGTTGGGAGGAATCTGCTGAGGAACACCGCCACGGCCACCCTGCTGGGGGTATCCGGGGAACTGGCCAGGGCGACCGCCCTGCTGAGGCAGACCCATACCGGGCTGGGGGAAAGGAAGACCACGGCCACCCTGCTGAGGGATGAAGCCGGGCTGCTGTCCCGGAGCGTAGAAGACGGGGGGTTGCATGTACTGCTGGGGCATGCCAGCGGCAGCTGCGGCCTGTTGCATGCGCAGCTGGTTGCGAGCCTGGATACTAGCCTCAAGCTGGCTCTTGCGAACGTCCTTGCGCTGTGCGAGGGCGACGTACAAAGGCTTGCCATTCACCATGCGCTGGTTCATTTCAGCAACAGCCTTGGTAGCGTCATCTGGGTTGCTGAAGCAGACGAAACCGAAGCCCTTGCTCTTACCAAGCTTCTTGTCGCCCTTCTTGTCACCCTTCTTCTCGGAACCCTCGTCCTCCTCGGAGTCCTTAGCCTCCTTTGTCTCCTCCGTAACCTCTTCCTTCTCCTCTTCCTTGATCTCCTTGTCCTTGCCATCCTTCTCCTCGTCGCTTCCTTCAGTGACGCTATCACGCATGACCTTGGCGGAGGTAATAGGGCCAAACTCGGAGAACATCAGGCGGAGCTTCTCATCATCCACATCATCATCAAGGTTCTTGATGTAGAGGTTGACACCCTGGTACTTGTTGGCCTTCTCGAGGCGAGCAGCCTCGTACGACTTGCGCAGCTCCTCCTCACGTTCATGCTTCTTCTGGGCACGTCCAACATAAAGATCTTGTCCTCGGAAGTCCTTGTTGTTGAGGTCATCGACAGCCTTGGCAGCAGCTTCGTGAGTGGTGAAGTTCACGAAACCGAAACCCCTGCTCTTTCCTTCCTGATCACGAGCCAGAGAAGAAGATGTAACATCCCCAAACTTCTCAAAGAGCACGCGGAAGTCATCGTCAGAAGCCTCGGGGCTGATGTTCTTGACGTACACGTTGGTGAAGTTGGCCTTCATCTCCTCAAACTTGCTCTGGCGATCCTTCTTGGGAATGTGAGGGCCAACATAAACCTTCTTCTCGTTCAGAAGCATGCCGTTAACGTGCTTGATAGCCTGCTGTGCAGCCTCATCAGTCTCGTAGTGAACGAAACCGTAACCCTTGGAGTTGCCAGCCTCATCCTGAGCAACCTTGCAGCTGAGGATGTTTCCAAAGGCTGCGAAGGTGTCGTGTAGGGCCTTGTTATCAATAGCAACATCCAAGTTCTTGATGAAAACGTTGCCCTGGCCAGTCTTGCGGAGGGCGGGGTCACGCTGAGACCACATGATACGGCAAGGGCGACCCTTGATCAGAGTGTAGTTGAGCTCCTCCAGAGCCTTCTCGCCATCGGGGGTGGAGTTGTAATTGACGTAGGCATAGCCGAGGGAGCGGCGGGTGACGGCGTCGCGGCAGACACGGATAGAAGCGACAGCACCGATCTGGGAGAAGAGCTCGAAAAGCATAGCCTCAGTGACAGAGGGGTCGAGCTCACCAACGTACAGAGACGCGGAGTTCTGGGGGTGGGGAGCAGCCGAGCTGGGAGTAGGGCCAGCGGGATCCTCAGCACCAGGGTTCACGCTGGTGTCAATGGCAGGAGCCTTGGAGTCGCTGCCGTTCAGCGAGGTGTTGTTGAGATCATTGGCAAGCTGATCAACAGCGCCGGAGGTCGGGTTTGCGGCCATTTCGAAGATCGTAAGATATCGATATAGTACGACTAGTGGGGGAGATGGATCGTCAGCTGGTTATCCAAGACGTTACTGGTCACCCCGTCTGAGACAGGAGGGGGGCGAGCGCGCGAATGTACCTGCAGATAGGCTACAGCGACACGAGGATGGATTCAAGGGCGACAGAGGGAGATGCTTACCTTGGGGAATGGATGGAGACTTCGAGTAGCGCTGAAAAGCTGGCTCGGAGTAGAAATGTTGTGGTGAGGGGCTTGGTTTGTCTTTGACAGGGGAGGACCAAAGCGAGACAGGTGGTGGTGAAGAAGGTGGTGGGGATTTTTTTGAAGGTTTTCAAGTTTTTTTGTTGATTTTCTGTGATTGAACAAGTGAGCAAGCAGAGAGAACTAGTACGAAGACCGTCCCTCTGAACCGACTCGACTTCTGGGGTTTTGGATTGTTGGGTTATAAAGTTGGTGGTTGTGGAAGAGGAGAAGAGAGAAATTTCTCCTTCATGGGCATATTTTTTTTATCGGGGGCGGTGGAACGACCTCCCACACCACCTGCACAGCACGGCCGCACTTGCTAGGGGACTTTGACAACAAGTTCCCTACTAGCAGAAAGGCACAAGGACTAGAAGGTACCTCCATCCGCCAGAATTAGAAAGACCAGATCACCTGCGCACTTTCTCATTCACGCTGCTTACCTATGTCGCTTTGTCTATTGCCACCATTAACTCTATCTCATGGTGTGCGCCTTACCTGCCTGCTACTGGCCGAGCAGGTATCCGGCTACTGAATCTCTGATCGCAGGTACAATCTGCTGGGAGGCGAGGCCGCCTTGGACAGGTACCTGATAGGCTGGTACCTTTTGTTGCGCCAGGGAAGTTACGTGCGCCTGCCCATTAATATGCCAAGCAGTTTTCGGCCAGATCCTTTTTTTTCTCCTTAGCAGGTACCTTGCTCAAATCCTCTCCAGCCGCGCTCCATTGAAAGGCGGTGATGGTACCTGAGGTAATAGCGCGTCGCATCAAGCTACCCCTCCAACAGCCCTAACATTAAATGTGCAGCGACTGATTAGTAGATTTTCGATCTCATGTCCTGCGCGTGTCGCGATCAACGAGGCTGCCTTCACAGTGCCCTTGGTAACATGTTCATGAAACATGGTAGCAATCCTGTATCTGACTAACATGTCAACCCTTACAATCCTGCATTATGCCTGCCGGGAATTAAAGATAGCAATGTAATTGACAGCAAATGCCCTCCAACATCCTCGCTGAGTACCCAGATGGTTACCTGTGTTCCAAGCACAATGCTCAAAATGTCGCTTTTTATCCATGAGTAATTCCGGCTTCGTATTCAATTATTTATATCATGTCTTTATTTACAGCTTTGAGCGTCACTCGCCAAGAATGAACGGAATGCAATGCCTTTGTGATGCCAGAGGGCTGACTAGTAGGGGTCCTCTGTCACATGTAGGGTAGTAATTTCGTTCTCACTCACAATCATCCCTCCCTCCATGAGGATGTTGATAGGTAATCAGCTGTCAGCCTCTGTGGCGTAATATTTGTGGCGTTGGCCACGTCCCTTATCTTATCTGGTGCCTGTATCCACACACGGCTCGCCTAGTCTGGCCCCAGCCTGACCTCATCTAGATTCGCCGCAACCCCACCACCAGGCGGCCAAGTGCGCAACAGCTTCCGTGACGTGCTGACCAAGGCAATGCGAGACTGAAACTTCTGGAAAGCATCGGCCTTGGGATCGCAAAACACGCTTGCTGGGGTGAGAGGATAGAGATGTTACTTGGGAGAAGATTTACCGCAACGCTCTAGTTGAGGATATTATCGAGAGCTTCCATCATGTTTTCCACATTCACAGGCAACTCACGGCGCCCACGGAACGTCAACCTTAGCGGGCAGTCAGGAAACCCATTCACGAATACCTCATGGAGTCCTTCCAACACCTCGAATGCCACCAAGGCAGTTTCCGATGCTCAAGCCGACCGAGAGAAGCGACAAGCCGAGAGACAGCGTTTAAAGGCAGCTTCCACTATCCAACGTGTTTGGAAAGGTCATCAGGAACGGCGACAGGTTTGCGAGCTGCGCCGGAGGTCGTTCGATAGCATATACGGGGCGAATCAGAATAATTCAGATATCTCGAACACGCTTCCGGTGGCTTTCAGCCTCCTGATTTCCTTCTTCTCTCATCATCGCAAGGATGATGTTGCTCGGCTCGTTCGATTTGTAAGGAACTGTAGCAAGGCCAGGCTCGAGGACATCGTGCCACCGGGTGTGCACCCTTCACGGGTCAGTCTATTTGTGCGGTTTCTCGTCGACGCGTTGAAGGTGATGGTAGTAGACAAGTATGTCCAAATTTACCCACATCAATTCATTGCCAGACAGCTTACATTAGTACCATAGAAATTGGCCTGAAATACTCGAACTTCTGTCTTTATCGAACCGGATCCTCCAACAACTCCCCGACGCAGTACACGGATCTGTCGAATCCTACTATACCACATTGGCTAACATCTGTCAATTCGACGACGGAGAGTCTACAGTCCTCCCCATACTGGTAGATGCCTTCTCAATCCCACTGCGGGCAGAGTCAAATCAGGGTGAGCAAGTCTCAACTACTAGATTAAAACGACAAAAACTAATCTACCAAGACCTCAAAGAAAAGGCATATCGTGCTATATACTTTAACTTCTTGACTCGACAAAGCATTCTCATCTTCCAGGCGAATATCGCAGCATTCTCTGTTGATCTTGATAGGAAGCGCTTAGCATCAACAATCATCAATGAATATCTGGAAACGTTCAGATCGGTGAGCAACAGTGAGCTTCTGTGGCTTCTCTCCCACTATATTGCTGTCTCTCAAAGCTCCATCAACTCGACAGATGAATTTCTTTGTTTAGAGGCTCTGGATATACAGCTGTCGGTTTTGATGGCAGAGATCAACTCTCGTATGGATCTCCGTGTTTCTCCAGACCCACCGGCAGACGATGAAGCCAACAATTCGTCAACACAACCTCTAGAGCCCTACGTAAAGGACACCCTGTTATTTCTGGTCAGCCAAGGTGCCATTGCCAACCTTTTGCGCAATTTGACAGACACTCTACTGGACTCGTCTGATGCTCAGTTGCGAAAAAGCAGCGTCTTCGGCTCTTACATCTCAACTCTTCTATTATGTTTCCCTGGTCAGGCCGACGATGTCCGCATGCGACTCTTCCTTGGCTCCGTCCCAACGCCAGAAGGGGATACGCCGACCGTGAAATTCTTATGGAACAAAGTGAATTCAAGTACCTTGCTCAACAACGTTATCACGGAATCGCAATCACCGATACGCCTACTTCGGAACTATGCTATTGGAAATCCTCACTCGACGAATAGTTCAGAGGAAGAGCAAGAGTGGCGAATTATTTTGATTTTCCTGGAAATCTACATTTTCGTACTTCGTCTCAGCGATGACGATGACTTCATCAGGGCAATGCATCCACACAGGTTTTCCAACGCTGACACTTCCCGCATCCAAGCCTGTGGGCTGAGGATAGAGGACCTGGCACGTTTGACGACGTTCCTAAAGAATACGGCATTTTCGCTCTACTACCACTCGCACCAAATCTTCAACACCGCCTCTGAACTTGAGAACTACGCGAGTTCAAGGTTAGGGTCATATCTCGAAGGCTCTACGTCCATATCGAAGGGAGCCGATGCGGCACCATCCTTGGGCATGTTAGCCAAGTCGGACGTCAACCGACTCAAGGATATTGTTACTACTACCATGAAAATGTTGTATGAGAGAGATTCCCGTCAGCATTTCCTCCCCGCCAATCATTGGTTGATGACGGACAAATTAGATAGCGAGGATTTTGTCACGGCCGTGATTGCAGAAGATGAGCGCCAAGCTCAGGAAGGCGAAGAAGAAAGTGACGAGGACAGTGAAGAGGCGGCACTGGATGCCCAATTTGGTCCCACCTTTGAATTCCGGGGCATGAGCAGGTTTGCCAACTCTCGTGTTTCGCATAATGCGAGACTGGAGAGACTCCGCATCAAACAGAAACGGCTCCAGAGAGAACGCCGACTTGCAATCATTGGTCCTAAACTTGAAGTCTTGAGGCACATGCCTTTTGTTGTCCCCTTTGAGACAAGAGTCAACCTCTTTCGCCAGTTCATTAACCTAGATCGCATTCGGAGAGACGGGGCGAACTCAGGTTTGCGATTTGGATTTGTCCATACTCCTTTCTCCCGGCACCAAGCGGACATCCGACGTGGACAGCTATTTGAAGATGCCTATGAGCAATTCTACAAGCTCGGTGAAGGCTTAAAAGACCCTATAAGCATCACCTTTGTTGATAAATTTGGAGCACCTGAGGCTGGAATCGACGGTGGCGGTGTCACAAAGGAGTTCCTCACCAGTGTGACAACGGAGGCTTTCAGCAATACAGAAGGCAAGCTAGGGATGTTTACTTCTAATAACAGAGAACTTCTCTATCCGAACCCAACCGCTGTGGACACTGTCCGCGAAACGCAACGCCAGGCCGGTCTCAGGGAGTACGACCCAGAAATGCGAGAAGCTATTGCAAAACTTCTTCGGCGGTACGAGTTTCTGGGTAGGATCATCGGAAAGTGTCTATATGAGGGTATCCTCATCGATTTGTCCTTTGCAGGCTTCTTCCTTCTTCAATGGCCATCTGCAGGCTCAAGTGAGGGCAACACATACAAGGGGAGCATCAACGACCTTCGAGACATGGATGAGTCCTTGTATAATGGTCTCCTCCAGCTGAAAAACCAGTCAGGGGATGTATCAGAGCTAGGCTTTGATTTCACTATCACAGATCAGGTTTCTTCTCCCGGAGAACCATTCAAGACAGTGACCAGAAACTTGGTGCTAAATGGTGATAAGACTCAAGTCACAAACGACAACCGCCTCTTGTACATCTCGTACGTCGCTCGGCATCGCCTTGTTGTCCAACCAGCACAACAGACTGCCGCTTTTCTTCGCGGGCTCCGCACTATCATCCGCCCTTCATGGCTATCAATGTTCAACCAGTCTGAACTACAACGCCTCGTGGGCGGCGATTCATTGGACATAGATATTGAAGATTTACGGCGCAACACTGTCTATAGCGGCCTGTACGAAATTGGCGATGATAAACAAGAGCACCCCACAGTCAAGCTATTCTGGAAGGTCATGAAGGGTTTTACGGATGCTCAGCGACGAGATGTGCTCAAATACGTGAGCTCGACGCCACGGGCGCCTCTGCTAGGCTTCTCGCAGCTGAGACCCAAATTTAGTATCAGGGACGGCGGCAGAGATGAAAAGCGGCTGCCCAGCACAAGCACATGTGTCAACTTGCTGAAACTTCCACAGTACAAAACCGAGGCGACGATGCGGGAGAAGCTTCTGTACGCCATCACTGCTGGAGCCGGGTTCGATCTCAGCTGATTTCGGACGGGGGATAACGGTAGATTTGACGGCGGACACACGCACGTACTCGTTTTATTTCATAATGGGGAGACAGATACTACATGGGAACAATATGAGTCTAGCCCTGGAAGCTTTGTTCAAGTAGGTGCGGCTTCCTCTTCTCAAGATCGAGGATCATCTGGCCAAACAGGCCGTTGGCCCACGCAAACCTTGAAGTATCGTTAGGTAGAATTTCAAAAACGTTTGGGAACCGATTAATAACGTACCACGGACGTGTCCACTGCGAGTCATCGTGACTGTTGACAGTCTCGTGCATCAATCCCAGGTTGCTCGTAGAGCCTAGGAGCTCTTTGAGCCCGTGGGTGATCTCTTCATCGTCGTCGGAGGTGAGCAGCTGCATGACGACAGCCATTGGCCAGCCGTTCCCAGGTCCAACGTGAGGTCCACCGGTGGCATTGATGACTGGTCCATAGGCAAAGTAAGGGTTTGACTTGCTCAAAACGAAGTTGCGGGTGTTCTGATAAATTGAGTCTGTGCTTTCTTTAAACCCGAGGTGGGGAATGCTCAAGAGTGATGGGATATTCGCATCGTCCTAGATATTATCAATGTCAGTAACAAAACCATATTGTATGATGCTCTTTGCACTTACCATGAGATTGGACGAGCCAAATCCATCAATTTCAAAGGCATAAACGTCGCCAAACTCAGGGTGGTTGACAATGGCATGTTCTTCAATGCCCTTGGCGATCCCATCCGCGATATCCTCCATCTCCTTGGCGAGCGCCTCATCAATCGTCTTCATGATCTCGCTAGTAGCCTTGACGTACCGCGAGAACATGATATTCCCGGGGATAAAATACTGGTAGATGCAGGAATCATCCGAGGGGCGGAAGAAGCTGCGAACGAGACCGATGTTGCCCCTGACCGGCGCGCCGGTGCCCTTGTTGAACACCGTCTCCGAGGCGCTCGTCGCTGTGCGGAGCCAGGTGTACGGCGGCTTGATGACGCTCCCGTCGTCTGCGTACGTGCCCCGCATCAGATCCTTTGCCGTGCTCAGGATGACCTTGACGGCCTCAACCCAGCCAAACTTGCCGAAGAACTCGGCGTCCTTTGTGACTTCGTAGTAGTCCCAGGAGAGCTGGAAGAAGGCAGCCATCGAGTCTATCTCGTACTTGCACTCGAAGACAACGTTGTGGTCCACCGCGGGTGTGACGACATCGTCGTCATGCTCGTACTGCGGGGACATGCCGGACTCTGGGGGCGGCTGGAAGGCATTGCAGTAGGGGTACTGCGTCATGTACCGGGCCTGGAGGTTGATGGCTCCCCGGTACAGGCTGGCGATGTGGTCCTCGCTCACAATGGATTTGTAGGACTGGAGCTGGTTGGCGCTATCGCGCATCCACATGGCATTGATGTCTCCTGTGATGATGAATGCCAGCTTTTACATCGTGCGTGCGTGAGCAAACAAGTTCCTCTTCTCGTTTCGATTGAAGGGGGTGGCCCTTCTGGCTCAGATCTTACCTCTTCATCCGGGTTGCCGCTAGAAACCCCAGTCCACCGTACGGTGGTGTCAAGAGTGCTTGGCCATGTATTCTCAAAGAGTCTTTGCAGGTCCGGGTCCGAGATTGTGGCATTTTTGCCCTCAATGATCTCTTCCACCTTGTCTACCGAGTACGTACGGCAATCCTTGGTGGGCCGCTGGAAGGGGAACTCGTAGATTCCGGGGGAGAAAGGTTCATGGCGCTCGGCAGCATACTGCACGTAGTTGGGGCATTGCTGGGCTGTGGCTGTAAGTGCCAGGATGAGGAGCGAAAACAGCATGGCGACAGTTCTCTGAATCAAAAGACGGGGGAGATGAAGGCTCAGCAGCCAGATCCCCCGCCCGACTTTCTGCGTGCCATTTTATACTCCCACGAGCAATTGCCTTCTCACATCCAGGGAAGGTGAGTTCCTTGCAGATGTTACATCGGCATTATTCTTTGCGGGGTTCAAGTACGAGAGTGGCAAGTGACTCTTATTTGCAGGGAGGAGGGTGCGGATGATCATCAACCGGGTAATACTCAATGTTGTGTGACGAAAGGATGCCAGGGCCAAATACCATGGGGTTGATCTAAATGTTGATGTCTCACTGAAATTACCGGGCGATATAACAAGGGTGGAGTGTTTTGCTCCTCTTGGGGAGGTACATGGCCGCTGAATATGGATGCTCGAAGTGAATCAGTAACTCTCTCCAGTGCGAGTGAGAATGTCGTTGGTTGGAAGAAGATGGCAAGTCAAGTGATATGCCTCTCTCCACCTACTATGATGAGTGTGCGGGGAACCTTGGTTGTAGCATCGTCATGTTACATCTGACGGTAAAATCCACAGGAAATGATATCGATTATGACTCAGGAACTATATCCATAACCTTACAATGTCCAAGTTTCGACATTCCGGCTTGGGGTACTGATATGGAGTAGTTTGTGCAGCTCACTCCCCATCATCATCGCATGGCTCAAAGAGGAGCGTCAGTCCAAGTGCCACTCCCTACCCTATACACCCTTCAGCATCGGGTTTTGGACAAGCAATGACGTCAGGTACCTATGCCACGGCTCTTCGACCTCTTTGCTATTGAAACAATGCGCGTTCTGAATTTTTGTTCCAGGTCCATTGCCGATTTATTTTCGAAGCTCGCATTTATAAAGGCCTTCTTATTGGATACAGTGATTCCTCGGTTTCCTGACTACTGGAACCACTCGGGTCGGCGGACTAGCTTGGATCTCCCGAGCAAAAAAACCACCAAGTTCTACGAGCTAGGAAAAGCGTATTAGTGGCCTTAACGAGCAATATGCGGCGGTAGAAATAACAACCGAGCGAAACAGATAGCCATGGCTCATCATATAGCCGTTTCCACGAGGGCGAAGCAGATTCGGAGCATATTCCCGAGTAACACTAGAGGCATGTGACATTGCGTCGGCGCAAGTGCCTCTCCGCCGAAGCTTCCCACTCCCATTTTTTTTCTCGACCATCTCCGGTTTCGGCTTAGGATAGACTCGGTACATGCGGGCTACCTACTGGGCCGAAAGCAGCAGCGAGGCAATGGCCGGCTCACACGGAGCTGGGCCAAGGTCACTCTGGAGTCCAGCCTGTTTCTTAGCCATTCGGCGGCTTGAACCGGTTATCAAAACCCGAAAACGTTATAGGGACGTCAGTGATCCAAGCTTGTGACTTTTTTTTGGAGCTTGCCACCCCCACAGCCAATTGCTTTCCAGCTAATTGTCAATCTACAATTCCAAGCAGCAAGACCCCTCGACCTTCCACAGAAGCTTTCAAATTGTCTGTGCCATTGCTTGCAGTCTCTCAATCGCCAATTGCTCCCTTTGAACTGGGCGCAGGAATTGCCCTTCTCACAATGTCGGCCTCTGTTCCCTGGGCGCGATGCGTCCAGCGCAGCGGCCAGACCTTGGCCAGGTGCAGCTTGAAGCGCACCTCGGTTGTTGCAGCCACATGCCGTGCACCCTCGCGGGCGAGGCCGTCCACGCTGAGATCACTGACATACTTACCCATGAGACGAGCCCAGAATGCCCGCCTCTTCAGCACCACTGCGAGAAGATTGATGCCCGACGAGGAAGATGCCTTTGACCCCGCCTCCATCGAGCGCGAGTCTGACGAGGTCGATGTGTGCATCGTGGGAGGCGGCCCCGCAGGTCTGAGTGCCGCCATCCGGCTCAAGCAGCTCGCCAACGAGGCCGGCAACGAAGATTTCCGGGTTCTGGTATTAGAAAAAGCTGGAGATCTCGGCGCACACATTTTATCTGGTGCGGTGATCCAGCCCTCCTCCATCAACGAGCTGATCCCCGACTGGCTCGACGAGTCGAACCCCGACCGGTTTGAGCATGCGACGCCCGCCGGAACCGACCGCATGCGCTTCCTGACAAAAACCTCCTCGATCCCGATCCCTGCACCCCCACAAATGAGCAATCATGGCAACTACATTGTCAGTCTAAACCAGTTTGTAAAGTGGCTGGGCGAGCGCGCCGAGGAAGTTGGCGTCGAGGTGTACCCCGGATTTGCCGCTGCCGAGGTGCTGTACAATGCCGATGGCTCGGTTAAGGGAGTCGCAACAAACGACCTTGGTATGGGCCGGGACGGCAAACCCAAGGACACATTCGAGCGGGGCATGGAGTTCCATGCCCGAGTCACCATGTTCGGAGAGGGTTGCCATGGCAGTCTCACCAAGCAAGTGATCAGTAAGTTCGATCTGCGCAAGGACAGCCAGCACCAGACGTACGGGCTGGGGCTTAAGGAGGTATGGGAGGTCGACCCCGCCAAGTTTGAAAAGGGTCTGATCGTGCACTCAATGGGATACCCATTGCCCAAGGAAGTGTATGGAGGTTCGTTCATGTACCACTTCGGCGACAATCTCGTCAGCTTGGGATTGGTGGTGTCACTGGATTACGAGAACCCGTGGTTGTCCCCATACCAAGAGTTCCAGAAGCTCAAGCACCACCCCCTGTTCAAGGATGTCCTTGAGGGTGGTAAGTGCATCTCTTATGGTGCTCGTGCTCTCGTCGAAGGAGGTTTCCAGTCAATTCCCAAGGTTGCCTTTCCTGGCGGAGCTCTCATCGGTGATTCCGCTGGTTTCATCAATGTGCCAAAGGTGAAGGGAACACACAACGCCATGAAATCGGGCATGCTGGCCGCCGAGGCGGCTTGGAATGCCCTGAGCTCGACCGACGAAGGCACCGTCTTTCTCTACGAATACGAGGAGTCTCTACGGAAATCGCCCATCTGGAAGGAGCTCAAGGAGGTCCGGAATATGCGCCCCTCCTTCCACTCCCCTCTTGGTATGTACGGCGGTATTGTTTACTCAGGACTGGAGGCCTACGTCCTCAAGGGCAGAACGCCTTGGACCCTCAAGCACAAGACCCCCGACTATGCCTCAACCAAACCAGCAGACAAATTCCCCAAGATCGAGTACGAGAAGCCCGACGGCAAGATCAGCTTCGACATTCTGACGAGCGTGTCCCGAACCGGCA